AAAGTGGTAATGCAGACCAATAAAAAGTAATGAAGAATCCAGAGTGGAAGATCAATGGTCTGTTTTTAAATATTTAACCTAGCACATTTCTGGGTCTGGCAACACCTATAACATTAATCTTGATGAAGTGATTTGTGACGTTGAGAAAAAAATATATTTTTAGTAAATGAATGAATTAATAAAATGATTGCTTGATACCTCTTCAGAACTAATCCAATCTGTTTGGATTTCATGTAGTGCTCATGCACTAATGGAAATGTTAACTAGACTAAAACATGACTTAAGAATTGTGTAATTCCAGTCATTGGCCAGAGCATTCCTACTTAAAGTGCTCGCTTTTGGGCCATTTTAGTTGTATCTGCAGTGGTTTACTAGCAGAGCTGTCTCAGGGTTGAAAATGGCACAGGTGCCCCCAGATGTGGCCGCTGTTGTGGGGTTCTTTGTGAAACGGGCACCCATGGGTGTGTTGGGAGGTGCCCAGGAGTGTTTGCATTTGCCCAGAACTGGTTAGAGTTCATAGCTGGGGTTCCTCTTGGCGTGTCGCAGAAGGTGGGCCTCAGGGGCGTCAGCACTGTGGGCGCGGCCTGTGTCCGTGCCCAGGAGCTTCCTCAGTCGTGTGATCTCCTGCTTGTACCTGAGACAGAGAAAAAGAGACAGTAGGACCACCTTGAGCAGGCGGTGAAAAATTGAAAAATTGCGTTGATACCTGTAGATTGAGATACGAACTAAACCCGATAATGTTAATCCATCCATCCATCCATCCATCCATCCATCCATCCTTTTTCACTGCCTCTTTTCCTGGTGAGGGTCGCAGTGAAGCCGGAGCCTACCCAGCAAGCAACGAGGGCATGGCAGGGTACACCCTGGACAGGACGCCAGTCCATCGCAGGGCCAGTGCAAGCCAATCACACATGGGGACAATTTGGAGGCCACGGTAAGGGCCGAAGGGGGAATTTGGCTTGGACACCGAGATAACTCCCTACTCTTCTCGAGAAATGCCCAGGGATCTTTAATGACCACCAAGAGTCAGGACCTCGGTTTAACGTCTCACCCGAAAGACAGGATAATGTTAATAGTATATTTAATTTAAAATGACATCCTTGCACATAGGTACTAGTGTTTCTGCTTAACAAGAAAAACAAGAACAGCACAATTCTATAAATATTGTGAGTAATACGGTTAATAAATCCACAGTTTCAATTCAAACGGTTTTCTTTCCCTCTGAATTTGCACAGACAAGGGTAAATGAACAGTGACGTTTGTGGAAGGGTGTTGTTACCTGGCCAGGTGCTTATCCACATACTCCTGCAGCTCGGAGACCTGCTCCTCAGCAACCGTTGCCCGGGTGATTAGCTGAGCACGTTCCCTTTCCTGTTCCTCCTGGAGAAAAGAGAGAGGCAAGGGAGAGTTAACCTGGAGAAAACTGTAACGTCAATCTTTTTTTTTAGATTTCAATTAAGAGCCTGAATATTGCTGTGCTGCCCCCACATTCTGCTACCCTGGGTTCTTTTTAGCCTACCTTGTGGGCTGCTTAAAATTAAGGCATATTGCCCAGGGAAAAAATGTGTTGTGTATTTAGTGAAATTCAGTGTGAAATCTTGAAAATATGTGTAAGTAAAAATGAGGTTGTCCTTTCCCACAGGTAATGCCTACACTTACCTGGGTGGAATGTGTGAATTCCCTCAGCTGCTTCCTGATGTCAGCCCAGGCTTCTTCAGAGGCCTTGCCCCCTGTTCCTGACCTAAAAGACAAACCACATTTACTAATCTAACCACATCTAATCAGTTCAGCTACTACTGTATGTACATAATGGCCCTGCTTTGTTCCAGTGCTGTGTATGTTCTGTTGTGTTAGGTCTACTTCATAGAATAGAACTAAGTCCTGTTTTACTTTTTGATAATTTAATAACTCTATATACTGTAGTTTGATGAAATGATTCATTTTCCAACAATCCCTGGATTTCAGGTGACAGCAAGGGTTGCTTTCCTGTGAATTGGACCATATGGTGTGAAATGACCATACTGTCACTCTGAATACAGCTATCTGACCTGGAGGGTCACGTCCTCTGTGTAAATGAGAAAGATTTACAAAAAAACAGGCCATTTGGAAACCTTTGTTATTGTGTAATATAAGGTCCACCCCTTTCTTAATATAAACGAAAAAACCCGAAACAATCCTAGGGTTTGGTAATTAATAGATGTGAATTCAAATGATGAGTACTCACTCCTTGAGGGTGACACTCGGAGGGTGGATCTCAAGAATACTCTTCTGAAAGACACAAGGAGTTGAAAACTCAAGAGGATTATAAGGGATGGTGAGTGATACGCACAGTTAGGCTACAGTGTGCTCAGTACAAGTTCAAGTTCCAGTTTATTATCATTATACTAATATACAGGTATATGGTATAACGAAATGCTATTTAGCTAGCTCTCGGATGATACGTAGTACAAAAAAAACAACAATACAATTGTATAATAAAAGAAAGACAGCGACAACAGGTAACAGGTCATGTGCAAAACAACATCAGATGTGCAAAAACAT